CAACCTCCGCCTCCTGGGTTCAGGCAATTCTCCTGCCTCAGCCTCCCGAGTAGCTGGGATTACAGGCACGCGCCACCATGCCCAGCTAATTTTTTTTGTAGTTTTTAGTAGAGACGGAGTTTCACCATGTTGACCAGGATGGTCTCAATCTCTTGACCTCGTGATCCACCCGCCTCGGCCTCCCAAAGTGCTGGGATTACAGGCGTGAGCCACCGCGCCCGGCCCCTGTGTTGTTTTCAAACAAGTCTCAGACATATTTCAGCATGTACCTCTAAAAGATAAGGACTTTTTAAAAAAAACCTAACTAAAAGCCAAATACCTTATATCAAATATCCAGTCATTGTTCTCATAAATATTATTATTTAGTTTCTATGGTTTTCATTATGAATCAGGATACAAATGAAGTCCACGTGTACAATTGATTGATCTCTTAGATATTTTTAAATTTACTGGTTCTTTCTTCATTTCTCTCTTTCCTTTTTTTCCTTAGAATTTTATTGTAAAAGTAATGGTTATTTGTTTGTCATTTACACTGCTGCAGAATTTTGCTCAGGACTTCTCCATGGCTATGTTCAGCATGTTATTCTGTCTTTATTCTTTTCTCTTGTACAGTAGTTGGATGTCGAGGTTTAATTAGATTCTGGCTTTTGTTTTGGTGCATTGTTTCTGAGTCAACTTTACAAAAGATTGTTTATCCACAAGAAGACACGTGTGCTTGTGTGTGCCTTTTTTTGTTGTTATTTTGAGACAGAGTCTCTTTCTGTCTCCCAGGCTGGAGTGTAGTGGCACGATCTCAGCTCGCTGCAACCTCCGTCTCCTGGGTTCAGGTGATTCTCCCACCTCAACCTCCCAACTAGCTGGGACTGTAGGTGTGCACCACCATGCCCGGCTAATTTTTGTAGTTTAAGTAGAGACGGGGTTTTGCCATGTTGGCCAGGCTGGTCTTGAACTCCTGACCTCGTGATCCACCTGCCTTGGCCTCCCAAAGTGCTGGGAGACGTGAGCCACTGCGCCTGGCCAATCTTAGTGAACTTTCTTGCAAATCATACTTCCTTAAGGACCCAGAACTAGAATTACTGGGTTAAAAGATATGCATTTAAAAAAGTACCTGGATGCAGCTGTCTAAGCGCACTGCCTACCAATTAGCCCTGCTCCACAAAAAAAAGGAAGAAAAATACTTGGATGCATCTTTCTAAATTGTCCGTTAGAATTGTTATACCATATTTATTAATGGGATTTTCTTTGGATGTTGTGAAAGCAGGTTGTTACTGGTAGCTCTTTGATATTAGAATTATTTAATGAGTTCATTTATAAGCTTAGGAATGGGTTTGTAGTTAAGGGGAAAATCAAATCTTAAGGGGAAAATCTAATCTTAAGGAAAAACAGAAGGCAGAATATTTCCAACATAATTTATATAGGTTACTGTTAATATGTTTGAGTATTCTTTGGTGACATATGGAGGGAAAGAGGGCAGGGTTATTGATTATATTGAAATTTTAGGATGGAGGTTAAATGCATTTAAAAATCCTTAAGCTTACTTATAAGCCTGTCTTTAAGGCAGCCTTAAAATTATAACTGTATCATTAATGTTCTTTCTCAAGTTTACTTTTTCCTGCTGGTATTCATTAAATGTGAATCTAAGATTAATAAATAAGTAATAACTTGAGTTTGAATCTACATTTTTCCTGCGATTATTGCCATTATTTGGATAAGTTAGTTTCTAGGAGGTATTTCTTTTCTCTTTTTGGGGGCCACTGACACCTTTGAAAATCTTTAGGAAACCCACAAAAATTTACATATAATTTTAAGGGGTTGTAGATATCCTGAAGTCTACCCCTGGACCCCAACTAAAGAATGCATATTCCAGAGACTTCTTTTTGCCAAAGATTTGAAGTGGAGCTTGAAGGAAGACTAGATAGTATCAAAGAGAAACAAATCAGAACATATAGCAGTTTAATTTGATTTCTAGTTGGGGGTCTTAGATGAGTTTTGTATTATCTTTTCTGTAAAATATGACTAACATTACCTCATTCACAGGAAATATTGTATAGTTTCATAAAACAAAATTAAAAGTAAATATAATTCTCACTTGTTATATTCTTTCCAAATTAAATTTTAATATGTCGTGTGTTGTTGAAATAGTGTTATTTCTGGGTGTATTAGAGGTATTGGGATTTAAAAAGAATTCGTGAGTTACTTTGTTTTTGGAAATGTTTGTAGGAACCAATGATGCCCATGGATCAGTCATCCATGCATTCTGACCATGCACAGACAGGTAAGAGTGGGGTGGCACAACCCATTGTTCATTCACAGAATAGCATGTAAAGACTTACTTAGGTGACTCTTTTACCCAAGTTTAAAAACATTTATATTCTTCCTAAATAAAAGTAAATATATGTTTTGTAGTAGTAAAATGAGTCACACTATTTAACATACACGTTTGGCTTTTTTTTTTTTTTTTAATATTTAAATGCAGCTGTGCTTAGAACATGTGGATTTTTTAAAGATAACTATGGGCTGGGCACAGTGGTTCACACCTGTAATCCCAGCAATTTGGGAGGCTGAGATGGACGGATCACCTGAGGTCAGGAGTTTGAGACCAGACTGGACAACATGGTGAAACCCTGTCTCTACTAAAAATACAAAAATTAGTAGGGCATGGTGGCACATGCCTGTAATCCCAGCTACTTGGGAGGCTGAGGTGGGAGAATCGATTGAAGCCAGGAGTCGGAGGAGGTTGCAGTGAGCTGAGATCATGCCACTGGCACTCCAGCCTGGTTGACAAAGCAAGACTCCATCTCAGAAAAGAGAAAAAAACGAAAAACAAAAAGACAACTATGGGCCGGGTGTGATGGCTCACGCCTATAATCCCAGCACTTGGGGAAGTTGAAGCAGGAGGATCCCTTGAGCCCAGGAGTTCAAGACTAGACTGGCCTTGCTTATACCCGTTACTGGAGGTAACAGAAAAAAAGAAAAAGATTAAAAAAGAAAAAAAAGACTAGACTGGCCAACGTAGGGAGACCTTGTCTGTTTTTCCTGTGTTTTTTAAAAAAAGCTTTGTTAAGTACATAACTAATGACCGTTTTTTCTAGTTCACATAAATTTCTTTTGAGACTCCTTTAAATTCAGCAAACTCAGTTTTTTTCCATAATGAAAAAACATGAAGCTGACTTTGTGGTCCATGTTGAGTGTGTTCAAGTGACTTGGTTTTTTTTCTAAGACAGAGTCTTGCTGTGTCGCCTGAGGTGTCACATCAGTTGATCTGCCCACCTCAGCCTCCCAGAGTGCTGGTATTACAGGCATGAGCCACCGTGCCCGGCCGAAGTGACTTGTTTTTATTAAAAGCTTTATAATCAGAAGTAGGAATTAGGTGAAAGGTAGAGAGATGCAAAATGGGAAATTCCAGGAAGATGGTGGAAATTAAGATGTTAGATAGATACCTTAAAAGAATGTTTAGTAGATAAAACCATCAACACGTATCTGGGAAGTTTGGAGAGCAGTGAAAGGAGGGAGAACAGCATGCTCTTTGGACTAAATCAGGAAAGGGAAAACAAGGGAGTTTTTCTGAAAAGACAAAATGCAATCTCCTAGTCGTGGAAGGATCAGCTCTATGAAATGTAGGCTTTTTTTTTTTTGGCCCTAGATAGCTTTAAGAAGTAGAAGTTCCATCCTGGTCTGTTTTGTTTTTGTTTTTGTTTTTGTTTTGAGGCGGAGTCTCGCTCTGTCGCCCAGGCTGGAGTGCAGTGGCATGATCTCGGCTCACTGCAGCCTCTGCCTCCACGGTTCAAGTGATTCTCCTGTCCAAGCCTCACCAGTAGCTGGGACTACAGGTTCGTACCACCTCACCCAGCTAATTTTTTGTATTTTTAGTAGAGACGGGGTTTCACTGTGTTAGCCAGGATGGTCTCAATCTTCTGACTTTGTGATCAGCCTGCCTCGGCTTCCCAAAGTGCTGGGATTACAGGCGTGAGCCACGGCACCTGGCCTGTTTTTTATTTGACCATTGTGGTAGTAAGGAAAATTTTGAGTATGATGGAGTGAGAAGTGAAAACCAGAGGTCCTGTATCTCTGTGTCTTAGTCATACTAAAAAATTTAAACATATCTTATAGAGTCATTCGTTTAGAAGGAGTGTTTGATTAATTTGTAGAGAAGAGAAATGTTTTAAAAATAACAAAACTACTTGTTGAAAGGAGTACTTGGCTACCAGGTTGTGATGCATACTTTCTTTACCTTCCCTAAAGATTAGGATTTAACTATTGTATTTACATACAACTTGTTATTAATAGGACAAGTATTAGTTTTAAATAATAAAGTAAAAATTAGAAAATTTTTATTTCAAACTCGTTAATGGTTGCTGTGTTTTTTCCCCCACACCTTTTTTTTTTTTTTTTTTTTTTTTTTCCCCCATATTTTTTTTTTTTTTTTTTTTTTTAATGTTTGGTATTGGATTGTTAGTAATTCCATATAATCCTTCAAGTCATGAGAGTTTGGATCAAGTCGGTGAAGAAAAAGAGGTAAGATAATTTGTCTTACTGTACATATGTCATTAGCTTTTTAGTAAGACTCAGGAGTTTAAAAGTATGACATACTGACCTGCTTAGACTTTAGATCATAATGATAAAATACAAAAAATGGTTTGTAACGATTCCAGAGTTTTATTCTGACTTAATTTAGTAATTACTGATTTAAGCTAGGAAGTAATTTAGTGGGATAACTTATTTTTATTTTAAAATAGCTTAATCTGAAAATTACAATGTATTTAAGGATACTGTTTAAAATACTTGGTAGTAGTGTTAAAATATATAGTAGACTCTTCCATTTTGTGTGTGAATTGCTTATTTAGACAATAAATTATTAAACATATTAACTGTCACTATTTTTTTCTGACTATTAAGCATTTTATTAGTTTGTTTGTTTGTTTATTTATTTTTGAGACAGAGTTTCACTCTTGTTGCCCAGGCTGGAGAGCAATGGCGTGATCTTGGTTCACCACAACATCTGCTTCCCAGGTTCAAGCGATTCTCCTGCCTCAGCCTCCCAAGTAGCTGGGATTACAGGCATGCACCACCACGCCTGGCAAATTTTGTATTTTTTTTTTTTTTTTTTTTTTTTTTTGAGACGGAGTTTCGCTCTTGTTACCCAGGCTGGAGTGCAATGGCGCGATCTCGGCTCACCGCAACCTCCACCTCCTGGGTTCAGGCAATTCTCCTGCCTCAGCCTCCTGAGTAGCTGGGACTACAGGCACGCACCACCATGCCCAGCTAATTTTTTTGTATTTTTAGTAGAGACTGGGTTTCACCATGTTGACCAGGATGGTCTCGATCTCTTGACCTCGTGATCCACCCGCCTCGGCCTCCCAAAGTGCTGGGATTACAGGCTTGAGCCACCGCGCCCGGCCAATTTTGTATTTTTAATAGAGACAGGGTTTCTCTATGTTGGTCAGGCTGGTATCAAATTCCCAACCTCAGGTGACCTACCCACCTCAGCCTCCCAAAGTGCTGGGATTGTAGGCTTGAGCCATCGCGCCCAGCCTACATTTTATCAGTTTTTTTTTGTTTGTTTTGTTTTTTTTTTAGACAGAGTTTTGCTCTGTCACCTGGCTGGAGTGCAGTGTTGCGATCTTGGCTCACTGCAACCTCTGCCTCCTGAATACAAGCAATTCCCCTGCCTCAGCCTCCCCAGTAGCTGGGCCTACAGGCATGAGCCACCACACCCAGCTAATTTTTTGTATTTTTGGTGGAGACGGGGTTTCGCCATGCTGGCCAGGCTGGTCTTGAACTCCTGACCTCGTGATTCACCTGCCTCGGCCTCTCAAAGTGCTGGGATTACAGGCGTGAGCCACAGCCAGCTCTTATCAGTTTTTAAAACAAAACAAATGGGGCCGGGCGTGGTGGCTCATGCCCGTAAACCCAGCACTTTGGGAGGCCGAGGTGGGTGAATCATGAGGTCAGGAGTTCAAGATCAGCCTGGCCAGCATGGCGAAACCCCATCTCTACTAAAAATACAAAAAATTAGCTGGGTGTAGTGGTGGGCACCTGTAATCCTAGCTACTCAGGAGGCTGAGGCAGGAGAATCGCTTGAACTTGGGAGGCGGAGGTTGCAGTGAGCCAAGATCGCACAGCTGCACTCCAGCCTGGGCAATGGAGTGAGACTCCATCAGATAAATAGAACAAATTCTTAATTAAAATTATTTGATTAAAATAATAATCAGTTTTGGGGGGCCAGGCACAGTGGCTTGCGCCTGTAATCCCAGCACTTTCAGAGGCTGAGGTGGGCGGTTCACCTGAGGTTGGGAGTTAGAAACCAGCCTGACCAACATGGAGAAACCCCATCTCTACTTTAAAAAAATACAAAATTAGCCAGGTGTGGTGGTGCATGCCTGTAATCCCAGCTACTCAGGAGGCTGAGGCAGGAGAATTGCTTGAACCTGAAGGTAGAGGTTGCAATGAGCTGAGATCTCACCATTGCACTCCAGCCTGGGCAACAAGAGCAAAACTCCATCTCAAAATCATCATCATCAGTTTTTTGAAAAAAGCTTATAGTGAAAAAGATGATCATGTCTCACACTGCCTACTCCCAGTTGGACTTTTTAGCAACTTTTTTAACCTTTTCTAGTTATGTCCATAATGTTTATGTCCCTCTTTTTCAATTTTTCATTTTTGTGTATTTCTGGACATGAAAGGTTTAGTTCACATTGCCTCCTCTTTTTCCCACATCTTTCTTCTTTTTTGAGTTGGGGTCTTGCTTTATTGCCCAGGCTGGAGTACAGTGGTGTCATCATGGCTCACTGCAACCTTGAACTCCTGGGCTCAAGTTATCTTCCCACCTCAACCTCCTGACTAGCTAGGACTGTAGGCACACCCCACCACACCCAGCTAATTTTTTTCATTTTCTGTTGTGTAGAGACAGAGTCTCGCTCTGTTGCCCAAGCTAGTCTTGAACTCCTGGTCTTAAGTGGTTCTCCCAAGTCAGTCTCTCAAAGTGTTAGGATTATAGGCATGAGCCACCATGCCCAACCAAAAATTTCAAACATAAATAAAAGTAAACAGAGCCGGGCGCGGTGGCTCAAGCCTGTAATCCCAGCACTTTGGGAGGCCGAGGCGGGTGGATCACGAGGTCAAGAGATCGAGACCATCCTGGTCAACATGGTGAAACCCCGTCTCTACTAAAAATACAAAAAATTAGCTGGGCATGGTGGCGTGTGCCTGTAATCCCAGCTACTGAGGAGGCTGAGGCAGGAGAATTGCCTGAACCCGGGAGGCGGAGGTTGCGGTGAGCCGAGATCGCGCCATTGCACTCCAGCCTGGGTAACAAGAGTGAAACTCCATCTAAAAAAAAATAAATAAATAAATAAATAAAAAATAAAAGTAAACAGAATAATATAACAAAGCCCTTGTGTCTATTATTAGTGAAAACAATGATCAATTCCTGGCCAGTCTTGTTTTGTCTATTCACTTGCCTCACTCCTGTATTATTTTGAAGAAACCTGTTAGTCACCTATTTAATGTTATGTTTTAGTTTCTTGTTCTGTTTGTTTGTCTGAAAAAGCCTTTTTTTCCCACATTTTTCCCTTTATTTTTATTATTATTATTATTTTGAGATGGAGTCTTACTCTGTTACCCAGCCTGGAGTGCAGTGGCTCACTGCAACCTCGGCCTCCTGGGTTCAAGCGATTCTCCTGTCTCAGCCTCCCAAGTAGCTGGGATTACAGGCGCTCGCCACCATGCACAGCTACTTTTTTTTTTCACTGTGCTTAACACAGAAATTTTTATATTTTTAGTAGAGACAGAGTTTTACCATGCTGGCCAGGCTGGTCTCAAACTCCTGACCTCATCATCCGCCCACCTCGGCCTCCCAAAGTCCTGAGATTACAGGCATGAGTCACCACACCCAGCCTTTCCTTTTATTTTTTTGTGAGACAGGGTTATTGCACAGGCAGCTGTGCAGTGATGCAGTCATGGCTCATTACAGCCTCAACTTCTTGATTTCAACCAATCCTCCCACCTCGGCCTCTCAAGTAGCTGGAACTACAGGCATGTGTCACCACTGGACCCTTACTTATCACCATATACAAAAATTTACTGTAGATGGAATACAGATTTAAACGTAAGACCTCAAACTATAAAAATCCTAGAAGAAAACCTAGGAAATACTCTCTTAACATTGGCCGTGGCAAAGAATTTTTGGCTAAGTCTCCAAAAGCAATCGCAAGAAAGCCAAAAATTGACAAGTGAGACCTAATTAAACTGCAGAGCTCCTGTGCAGCAAAAGAATCCACCAGTAGACTAAGCAGACAACCTATAGAATGGGAGAAAATATTCACAAACTATACGTCGAAAGGTCTCATATCCAGAATCTGTAAGGAGTTTAACAACAAAAAACAACCCTATTAAAAAATGGGCAAAGGGCTGGGTATGGTGGCTTATGCTGGTAATCCCAGCACTTTGGGAGGCAGAGGCAGCAGATCATTTGAGTCCAGGAGTTTGAGACCAGCCTGGCCAACGTAGTGAAACTCTCTGTCTACTAAAAATACACACACCCACCACACACACACACACACACACACTCACTCACTCACTCACTCACTCACTTACCAGGGCATGGTGGCACACACCTGTAATCCCAGCTACTCAGGAGTCTGAGGCATGAGAGTCATTGGAACCGGTGAGGCAGAGGTTGCAATGAGCCAAGACTGTGCCACTGCACTCCAGCTTAGGTGACAAGACTCTGTTTCAAAAAAACAAACCAAAGGACATGAGCAGACATATCTCAAAAGAAGACCTATAAGCAGCCAACGAACATGAAAAACCGCTCATTGTCACTAATTATCAGAGAAATAGAAGTCAAAACCTCAGTGAGATACCATCTCACATCAGTCAAAATAGCTTTTATTAAAAAGTCAATCTGGGTGTGATGGCTTGCACCTGTAATCCCAGCACTTTGAGAGCATGAGGCAGAAGCAGTGTTTGAGCTTAGGAGTTCAAGACCAGCCTAGGCAACAGTCTCTTTTTTTTTTTTTTTTGAGACAGAGTTTCACTCTTGTTACCCAGGCTGGAGTGCAATGGCGCGATCTCGGCTCACCGCAACCTCCGCCACCCGGGTTCAGGCAATTCTCCTGCCTCAACCTCCTGAGTAGCTGGGATTACAGGCACGCACCACCATGCCCAGCTAATTTTTTGTAGTTTTAGTAGAGACGGGGTTTCACCGTGTTGACCAGGATGGTCTTGATCTCTTGACCTTGTGATCCACCCGCCTCGGCCTCCCAAAGTGCTGGGATTACAGGCTTGAGCCACCGCGCCCGGCCTAGGCAACAGTCTCTACAAAAAATAAAACATTAGCCAGGTTTGGTGCTGCGCCCCTGTAGTACCAGCTCTTCAGGAGATTGAGGTGGGAGGATTGCTTGAAACCTGAAGGTCAAAGCGTCAGTAACAGAGTGAGACACTGTCTCAAAAAAAAAAAAAAAAAAAGAATAAACAACAGATGCTGGTGAGTCTGCAGAAAAAAGGGAATGCTTATATACGGTTGGTGAGAATGTAAACTAGCTCAGCCACTGTGGAAAGCAATTTGGAGATTTCTTAAAAAACTTTAAACAGAGCTACCATTTGACCCAGCAATCTTCCATTACTGGGTATGTACCCAAAGAAAAATAGATCATTCTCCCAAAAAGACACATGCATTCATATGTTCATCACTGCACTGTTCAATAGCAGAGACATGGAATCAACCTAGGTGTCCATCAATAGTGGATTGGGTAAAGAAAACATGAAACCATGTACCTTGTGACAATATGGTTAGAGCTAGAGGTTATACTGTAATCCTAAACGAATTAATGCAGGAACAGAAAACCAAATACTACATGTTCTCACAAGTGGGAGCTAAGCCTTGAGCGCACATAGACGTAATCATAGGAACAGCAGACACTGTTGACTGCTTGAGGCGGGGCAGCATGGGTTGGAAAACTACCTCTTGAGTACTACGTTCACTACCTGACTGCAGTATACGCATGTAACAAACACACACACATACCCTCTCTATATAAGATAAAATTTGCGTTTAAAAAGTATTACAAATCACACTTTTACTGTTTCTCTAGAAAATGCAGTGACCTGGGCACTCTATAATATTTAGATTTACCCACATTTTACCCTTTTTGTTTTTCGTTTCTTCCTACATCTTTGTTCCTCCATCTGAGATCATGCTTTTTCTCCTTCAAGGACTTAATTTAGTCTTTCCTTTAGTGAGCACCTACTAGTGATGGATTCACTCAGTTTTTGTCTGAAAATGTTTTTCTTTCACTTTCACTTTGTGAGCTGCTTTTCAGGATAAAGAATTCTAGGTCAGCTGTTTTCTTTTTTAGACCCTCGGAAGGTGACATTTCACTGTTATCTGACTTCTGTCATTTCATTCAGCCTTATTACTTTGCTCTTTCTGGCTCCACTTGATTCTCTCTTATATTTTCAGTTAGTCATATTTCAAGTCTATGTGTTGACTTATTTTCTTACAATTATCTTCTTTCATTCATTCATTCATTTTTTTTTTTTTTTGTAGAGACAGGGTTTCACCATTTTGGCCAGGCTTGTCTTGAAATCCTGACCTTGTGATCCACCCACCTCGGCCTCCCAAAGTGCTGGGATTACAGGCATGAGCCACCGCGCCCGGCCAATTCTCTTCTTTCCTAACCTGCCTGAACCTGGTTTATTTTCACTCTGCTTTATTTATCCTTGTGTGTTAGTCCGTTTTTTGTTGTTATAAAGGAATACCCAAAGGTTGGGTGTGGCGGCTGATACCTGTAATCACAGCATTTTGTGGAGCTGGAGAATCATTTGAGGCCAGTAGTTTGGGATCAGCCTTGGCAACATAGCAAGATCCCCCATCTCTACAAAAAATAAATAAAAATTAGCTGGGTGTGGAGGCACATGCCCATAGATCCAGCTACTTGGGAGACTGAGGCAGGAGGATCACTTGAGCCCAGGAGTTCACGGCTGCAGTGAGCTATGTTTGTGCCACTGCACTGCAGCCTGGGTGAAGAGCAAGACCTTTTCTTAAAGAAATGAATAGGGCCGGGCACGGTGGTTTGTGCCTGTAGTTCCAGCACTTTGGGAGGCCAAGGTGGGCGGATCACAAGGTTAGGAGATGGAGACCATCCTGGCTAACACGGTGAAACCCTGTCTGTATTGAAAATACAAAAAAAATTAGCTGGGCTTGGTGGCATGCACCTGTAGTCCCTGCTACTTGGGAGGCTGAGGCAGGAGAATCGCTTGAACCCAGGAGATGGAGGTTGCAGTAAGCCAAGATTGCGTCACTGCGCTCCAGCCTGGGTGACAGAGTGAGACCCCATCTCAAAAAAAAAAGAAAGAAATGAATGAAGGAATAAAGGAATACCTGAGGCTGGGTATTTATTTGGTACATGGTTCTGCAGGCTGAACAAGAAGCATGGCACTAGCATCTGCTTCTGGTGAGGGCCTCAGGAAGCTTTCAATCTTGGCAGAAGGCAAAGCGGAAGCAAGTGTGTCACATAGCAAGAGAGGGAGCAAGAGTCAGGGGAGATGCCACACTCTGAACTCACTCATTAACCACAGGAATGCACCAAGCCATTCTTGAGGAATCTGTCCCTGTGACCCAAACACCTCCCATTAGGGATCACTTTTGAGCATGAGATTTGAGATTTGGAAGAGTCAAATATCCAAACTATATCACCTTGTTACCAAATCAAATTATTATTATTACATATATATATATATTTTTATTTTAGATGGAGTCTCGCTCTGTTGCCCAGGCTGGAGTGCAGTGGCGCGATCTCGGCTCACTGCAACCTCCACCTCCCGGGTTCAAGTGATTCTTCTGCCTCAGCCTCTTGAGTAACTGGGACTACTGGTGCATGCCACCACTTCCGGCTAATTTTTGTATTTTTAGTAGGGACGTGGTTTCACCATATTGGCCAGGCTGGTCTCAAACTCCTGACCTCGTGATCTGCCCGCCTCTGCCTTCCAAAGTGCTGTGATTACAGGTGTGAGCCACGTGCCTGGCCTATTATTATTATTAATGACAGGGTCTCACTTTGTCACTAGGCTGGAGCACACCAGCACAATCACAGCTTACTGCAATCTCGACCTGTCAGGCTCAGGTGATCCCCCCACCTCAACCTCCCAGGTAGCAGGGACTACAGTGCGTACCACCAACACCCAGCTAATTTTTGTATTTTTTGGTAGAGATGAGGTTTCTCACCACATTGCCCAGGCTGGTATTGAACTCCTGGGCTCAATCAGTCCACCTGCTTCAGCCTCCTGAAGTGCTGGAAATATAGGCATGAGCCACTGTGTGCAGCCCAAATTGTTATTTCTAAATTTTCACGTATGACCATTTTTTTAAGTTGTCATTCTCACTCAGTTTTTCTAATAACCTTCTTTCAGTTTTGTGGTTGCTGGTTTCTTTATCTTTCTCAAAATTTACTCTGCTTTTCTTCGTATTCTTCGGAGAATTCATATTTTATTCTCATGGGTCCATTGTGTGCTAATGATTTTGCAGGCGTCTAATAAAAGACTATCTTCAGACTTCTCTGTAAATTGCCAGAAGCTTACATTTATGGTTGTGAATGAATTTTAAGGCTCTTTGTCCTCCCAAAGGGGCCTTAGTATTCTGTGGAAAGGAATGTCTTCCATTCGCTGAACGACTTCATGCTCGTTTTTCTGTCTATAGCATCCAAAAAAAACACCTCTGAATGTGTCCTCTCACTAGCTTACATTTTATGTATCAAGCTTCCAGCAGACTCTTTCATCTTGATGTCTCCTTATAACTTCTGAATTCATGTCCCTGACCTGGGTAGAGTGGCATCTGGTTGGTGGTGCCCATCTCATATGAGCCAGGGACAAAGCAACCCCTTGTTCATCCCAGCTTGGCTTTTGATCTGTGCCTATGCCTGGTTCATGCCTTGGACACATAGGTTTAAAAAAAAAAAAAAAATCTGAATTTGTTATGAAAAACCCAATTGTTATCTCCAGTAACTTTGTCAATCTTATCCTAGCCACACACTTGATGTTCTCTGTCAGTGGGACCCCAATCTCTTGGTCACCAAAGTTAATGTGTTTTTTTTTTTATTCCTGCATGTCTATTGCCTCTATACCCAAAAGTTACATCCTTTTTAAGACATCCTTCGATGGTTTTCTGATTTCAACTCCCTTCCCATTCTTATTACCATCCCTCTTATCTCAACTCATGAATTCATCCATATAGTCGAATTCATTTGAATAGCTAGATTATATGGTTTGGGATGACATTTTAAAAATATTAAGAACTTAAAATATTTTTTATGTTAGGAAAATATCTTTAAATCGTTATAGGTACAACGAGGTCTTAGAAATATAATGTACTGTGCAAAGCATTTCCCATTGTAACTCTGATACAAATGTTCTCACCAGGCAATGAACACCAGGGAAAGTGGCAAAGCTTCATCCAGTCTAGGTCTTCAGGATTTTGATTTGCTCCGGGTAATAGGAAGAGGAAGTTATGCCAAAGTACTGTTGGTTCGATTAAAAAAAACAGATCGTATTTATGCAATGAAAGTTGTGAAAAAAGAACTTGTTAATGATGATGAGGTAAGCACCACATGTTTTATTGCTTCTAAACTGTTAAACTGCTTAAGAATACTGTTTTAAATAAAACCTCAGTCTTTGTGCTTTATTACTTGATTCTGCATTTCTAAATATGTGCTAAGTAAATGAAGTATATTATTTCAGTTTACTTTTCTTAGATTGTATAAGATATTTAAAGTAATTCGATTATTATTAGATTAAAAAAACAAATCAAACCACAATATTATCAGAGGAAATACTTGAGCTTGCAAAAATTTTCTAGACGGTTTTATGATATTGAAAGACTTACTAGTGTTATTTTTCTCTTTGTAAATTTTAGTTTCATGATTATCAATGGTTTTGATATTTAGCCTAGTTAACAATTGCATTTGTGACAATTGAATTGCTCAGAGCAAATTAATCATTAATTGTGATGATTTCAGTTTGACATAGATTCCTTTCATGTTTCAAAATAGGATATTGATTGGGTACAGACAGAAAAGCATGTGTTTGAGCAGGCATCCAACCATCCTTTTCTTGTTGGACTCCATTCTTGCTTTCAGACAGAAAGCAGGTAAGATTGAAAGATAATAGAATGATTACTGGGCTTCATATTTTGGGCATATTACACGGAACCTTTCTGCTGTATTCATGAAGTAGACATCATGGAGGATGCACCAGTGTTAGGCTTATAACTTCCTGCTACTATTACTCCAATCACTGATAGCAGTTTGATATTGGATCAACATTAGGAAATGACCTGCTTTAGGCAGAACAAGAAATAGTTATGTTTTAGGCAGAGCAAGAAACATGTCATAATTATGGCAGTGGAAATCCAACCTTTTAAATATCCCCAGTATTCTAGTTTTATGACTTAAAATTTTCTAGAGTTTAACAAAAAGGAAAAATGCTAACTTCTTAATCTTGACAGTCAAAAACAACTTATTTATCAAAGGCTAAAATTAGGATGGTAATGAGTGGCTCTGGGTTGCAAGTGGTATTACTTTAGAATAGAAGTAGTAGGCTACAAAATTATGATCATGCTGGTTTACTTTCTCATGTCTTCTGTAACCTAGGTACTCTTTGTTTCCACCAAAATCTTGACATCTTTTTAAAGGCCAAATAGTAGAGAATGCTCTCTGTTGTGACTGGTTTGTGAAAATGCAAAGCTACACTACCTTTTTTTGGATCTTGATTTCATGGGCTCTCTCCTGTGTTTTAGATTGTTCTTTGTTATAGAGTATGTAAATGGAGGAGACCTAATGTTTCACATGCAGCGACAAAGAAAACTTCCTGAAGAACACGCCAGGTAAGTTTTTGTTGAGTGTGTGTGTGTGTGTGTGTGTGTGTGTGTGTGTGTGTGTGTTTCAGGGCCATGTGGCTTCTTATGTGCAATGGTTGGAAACAGTAGTTAAGTAATTTATTTCGATACTACTGTAGTTAATTCTTTGTAAGTCATGCATAGGCTGACCTAAAAGTTAATTTACATTATAATATATATGTAAAACAATTTTAGTATATATTCTTTTACATTTATACACACACATGTACACATGCATGCACATAGTGCTCCCTAAGCCATTGAAAAATATAAACAATATTAAAGGGGAAACCTTTACTAAAACCAATCCTTTTCAAATATTTTGTCTATTTGGCATCAACCATTTAAATAATTGAGACTAATAAACATGTATTAGTCTTTTCAGGTTTGTAGTGGTCTCTGAGAGAGTTTTTCACTATGAGAGTGCTATTCATACATACTTGAGAGTAATAAAACCATCCATCTGACTGGGCACAGTGGCTCATGCCTATAATCCTGGCACTTTGGGAGGCTGAGGTGGGTGGATCACCTGAGGTCAGGAGTTTGAGACCAGTCTGACCAACATGGTGAAACCCTGTCTCTACTAAAAATACAAAAATTAGCTGGGCTAATTTATCCCAGCTACTCAGGAGGCTGAGGCAAGAGAATTGCTTGCAGTGAGCCAAGATTGTGCCACTGCACTCCAGCCTGCCCAACAGAGCAAGACTCTGTCTCAAAAAAAAAAAAAAGAAAAAAGATCTCTTTTAAACTAGTATATACTTCTGACTGTTCTTCCTGTGATTTATTGTTCTTTGCCTTTTTTTCCCTCTAATCCCATAATTATTGATAAATAAAAGAGTATTGAATATTAATTTTGTGCTCTTAATTTGATATTAATATATAAGACTGTAAATTATGTGTTGGAGGAGATTGGCGGGAAGGGATCAGGGCCTTGAATAAACAGTTTAATCCATCAGTACCAGGTTTTTTTTTTTTTTTTTATTCAAAATCAGCAGTAATTCTCACCCTTTCCTGCTTCACAAGAGTAATACCAGAATGAAACATATGAGTTTGTATATGTTTGTAATTATCTAAAAGGGAACTAATATTAGAAATTTCATTTAAATAAAAAACTTGTGGAAATTTTGCTACTTGATTATTGCTTGTGAAAACGTGATAATATTCTTTAATTTCATAAGAAGGTATAAATTGTACTTACCTTGAGGCCAGGCTGGGTTTTTTGCTCATTTGGGTTTTGTTGTTGTTTTGGTGTTCCTTTATGTTCATTGTGTATTTAGGCTTTATCAAATGATCCACCCTTCATAGCAGAGCCACAGATGATATTTTGAATTGTGAACATAGCCAATATTTGTTCCTTGTCTGTTCGGTTGAATGTGGGAAGCTAGTCTGGTTTTTTCTGTATTAATGTGCCGATTCTGGCTTTATACCACCATCTTTGCTTTTGTAAGAACTAAAGCCCAGAATTAGGGCTTAAGTTCCCAAATCACAGAATTAAGTAGCTAGAAGGTGTATGTTATGTACCTCCACATGTAATCACGATAATGTGCCACCAAAGCACCCATACAACAGCTCCGGTGTTCCATTCTCATTATTCAGGCCAAAAGTTCTGGGTTGTCACCAGTGAGTTGGTAGCAGTTTTTTAAAGTTCTTTGTTTGATATTAAATTTTATAGTTGTAGAATAGTTCCATTTAATTCCTTTTCTAAAAGCTTATGAGGATTTTATAGTGTTGAGTAGTTACCTTGTAGTAGTCTTTCTATTCTTGACCCTGTCAGTGGTTCTTAGCCTTCTGGGGGGTCATGGGTCCCTTAGAGGAGTAATGAAAGCTGTGAGGACTCTGTAGATATTGTGCGTGTACACATGTGCATACACCTTTGCCCCCGGTTGTAGAAGTATGAACTGCCTGAAGTTTACCCAAGGACCCAGATTAAGAACCTGGTTTGAGACTTTCAAATTAATAGCTTATGAAAAATGTGAGTTTAAGTTAAACAGGAACTTTTATAATTGTGTCGTGGGCTCAGATGTTTTAAAGTGGTACTTCAGTTTGTTTTTTAAATTAGTTTCTAAAATCACTGGGAGGAAAAAATGTTTTGGTATGAATTTTTATGTTTCCAGTTGCAAGTGTAGAACTTAAATATGATTGAATCAAATGACTTATTTTTTATTTTATTTTAGATTTTACTCTGCAGAGATCAGCCTAGCATTAAATTATCTTCATGAGCGAGGGATAATTTATAGAGATTTGAAATTGGACAATGTATTACTGGACTCTGAAGGGCACATTAAACTCACTGACTATGGCATGTGTAAGGTGAGGAAAACTTTCTAGTTATTTAAAAAGGTCTTTAGCAGCTAGTAGTCTTTGTAAAACAACTTCATGTTTAAAGATGGGAAAATGATTACTAATTTTGCTAATTTATTTATGAAGCTTTGTGGAATTCTAGCACAAAGACAAATGTACTATTTTTCTAACCATTTGCAAAATTTATGTCTTCTGTGTTATGTGTACTACAATAAGTTAATTTCTTTTTATTATATATACCTTTTTATCTTGAAAGTTGTAATACAATTGAAGAAAATTTGGAAATAAAAACTGTCTGTAATTCCACCAGTTAGTACAACCATTTACATATGACCTTCCAATTTTTGCCATTTAGTAGTGAATTTTATATAATGCATTCAGGATTTTCCTCGGAAGTCAAACATTTTTTATATTTAAATTTTAGCCGGGCGCGGTGGCTCATGCCTGTAATCCCAGCACTTTGGGAGGCTGAGGTGGGTGGATCACCTGAGGTCAGGAGTTCAAGACCAGCCTGATCAATCTGGTGAAACCCCATCTTTAAATAAATAAATAAAAAGAAAAAATAATAAATTTTTTTATTATATTATTATTATATATATTATATTATGACATAAAGTATAATATGTAAAAAATTTTATATATAAATAAAAATATAAAGAATTTTAGTTACTCTCAGAATATGTCTTCTTTTTTTCTTGGTGTTTTATTCTCTTTATAACCGTGTTCCATTTTAAAGGTCTGGTATTTTCCCACAAAATGTGTAAGGATCTACTCCTTTTTAAGGTAATGGGTACAAAATTATCCTCACATAGTAATACAACAACCAGTATGTAAATGTGTGAATTTCATTCCCTGTTCACCTGTGGGAAGTGCCTCCAGAGCCTGGAGATTATCTAAATGCTAACATGGCGTATGATAGCCTAATTGTATTTAATATTTAACTTTTTTTTTTTTTTTTTTTTGAGACGGAGTTTCACTCATGTTACCCAGGCTGGAGTGCAATGGCGCAATCTCTGCTAACTGCAACCTCCGCCTCCTGGGTTCAGGCAATTCTCCTGCCTCAGCCTCCTGAGTGGCTGGGATTACAGGCACGCACCACCATGCCCAGCTAATTTTTTTTTTTTTGTATTTTTAGTAGAGACGGGGTTTCACCATGTTGACCAGGATGGTCTCGATCTCTTGACCTCGTGATCCACCCGCCTCGGCCTCCCAAAGTGCTGGGATTACAGGCTTGAGCCACCGCGCCCGGCCTCAATATTTAACTTTTAACTTTATATCTGTTCAGAATGCATTAAAGAATAACATCTTCACATAAACTATGCTTGCTTTTATGTACTGAATTCAACCATATTTTTCACATGATACTTATTAATTAAATAATTAATGTTTTTTGAGACAGAGCCTTGCTGTGTCACCCAGGTTGGAGTGCAGTGGCATGATCTTGGCTCACTGTGACTTCTGCCTCCTGGGTTCAAGCTATTCTGTTGCCTCAGCCTTCCAAGTAGCTGGGATTAAGGTGTGCCCCACCATGCCCAGCTAATTTTAATTTTTTTTTTTTTTTTTTTTTGAGACAGTTTTGCTCTTGTTGCCCATGCTGGAGTGCAATGGCATAATTTGGCTCACTGCCACCTTTGCCTCCCAGGTTCAAGGGATTCTCCTGCCTTAGCCTCCCAAGTAGCTGGGGTTATAGGTGCCCACCGCCACTCCCAGCTAATTTTTTTGTATTTTTAGTAGAGATGGGGTTTTATCATGTTGGCCAGGCTGGTCTTGAACTCCTGAGCACTGGTGATCGACCCGCCTCGGCCTCCCAAAGTGTTGGGATTACAGGTATGAGGCACCGTGCCCGGCCCTTACATATTTTTATTATACAAGTTTTCAATCATAAACAATTAGAACGCTTATCGAGTGGAACCCCTGTATACCTATATTTGTGGTTCCTTTTTGATATCTGTGTCATTTTTTTTTCTAAGGGATTTTTTTCTCATTTCAAAAAAAGTAACAGTGATAAAGGAGTCTTGTCCCCAAGAATAAATGAAATTGAACAAAAAACGTGGAGAGGATTAACCTTTATACAAAGTGCACAAAGTAAAACAAGGAGACCTTTTTTTTTTTCCTGTGAGATACTTGTTTTAAAATCAGAATAATCTGTATGTTTAAAGAAATGGACACATGTCAGTGGTGTTTATATAAATTGTTACAACATTTTGAAAGCAGTTTAATGAGGAATTACCAAGAATCCTAGAGATGGCCAGTTCTTTGGTCCAGTAATTCTGTCTCTTGGATATTCTGAGTAAATATTTTGGTTTATGAAGAGAGATTTCTGTCCAAAACTTTTATTGCAGTTTATGATAAATATTGTAAAAGTCATTTAAGAATATCTTTATTTTATTTTTACTTTTTTTTTTTTTTTTTTTTAAATAGAGAAGAGGTCTTACTGTGTTGTCCAGGCAGATCTCAAAACCAAGAGTTCATGTTAGCATTTAGATAATCTCCAGGCTCTGGAGGCACTTTGCTCAGGTGAATGGGGCATGCAATCACATATTTACATATTTGTCATTGTGTTACTATGTGAGGATAATTTTGTACCAATTACCTTAACAAGTAAAGCAAGCCACCACACCCAGCTGAAGATATTTATAAAAAATGCGTAACACATGATGGCTCACACCTGTAATCCCAGCACTTTGGGAGGCCAAGGCAGGCAGATCACTGGAGCTCAGGAGTCTGAGACCAGCCTGGGCAACATGGCCAAACTCCATCTCTACAAAAAATGGAAAAATTAGACTGGCTTGGTTGTGCTTGTACTCCCAGCTACTTGGGAAGCTGAGATGGGGGGATCGCTTAAGCCTGGGAGATTGGGAGATTGAGGCTATGGTGAGCTGTGATCGTGCCACTGCATTCCAGCCTGGGTGAGACCCTGTCTAAAAGGACAAAAAAAAAAAAAAAAAAAAGACGGGGCTCAGTGGCTCATGCCTGTAATCCCCAGCACTTTCGGAGGCTGTGGCGGGCGAATCATGAGGTCAGGAGTTCGAGAACAGCCTGACCAACATTGTGAAACCCGGTATCTACTAAAAATACAAAAATTAGCTGGGTGCAGTGGCGCAATCCTTTAATCCCAGCTACTCGGGAGGCTGAGGCAGGAGAATCGTTTGAACCTGGGAGGCAGAGGTTGCAGTAAGCTCAGATCACCCCACTGCACTCCAGGCTGGCAACAGTTCGAGACTCCATCCCCACCAAAAAAACAGATTTGAACAAAAGATAGAGCTAAAATATATATATTATTATATACATATATATTGTATTATGTGGCATCACACATTGATTTTGTTTACTTTTCCTTATTTTTCAAGTTGTTATTTTAAAATGTTATGTTAAATGTGGTTGCCAATTGCGTTACAGTACACAAATGCATTTTGATAACATTTTAAAATGTTATTTTAAAATAATACCTTTAAAAATAATGGAATTATTTCATTATTTAAACAATGAAAATAGGAGGGCATGGTGGCTCACACCTGTAATCCCTGTACTTTGGGAGGCCCAGGCAGGCAGACCACTTGACGTCAGAAGTTTGAGACCAGCCTGGCCAACATGGTGAAATCCCATCTCTACTAAAAACACCAAAAAATTAGCGGGGCGTGGTGACACAATTGTGACCTCAGCTACTCAGGAGACTAAGGCAGGAGAATGGCTTGAACCCGGGAGGTGGAGGTTTCAGTGAGCGGAGAGTGTACCACTGCACTCTAGCCTGGGGCAGAGTGAGAGAAACTCTGTCTCAAAACGAACAAAAAAAAACAATGAAAATATAATCACAAAAATGAATTAAGACTTTCTTCTCTTTTTGTCTTTCTTAGTCTTTTGTTACTCTTACTGAAAAATAATATTGGCTTGTTAAACATTTTCATTTCTTATAGGGATCTTCAATCAAGTTAGTTATATATATTATATAACTATATATATTACAACTATATATAATATATAGTTATATATAACTATAATATATAGCTATTATATATAATACATATCTATCTATCTATATATATATGTATATATATTAGCTGTAGCTTTTGTCCAAATCTTCCTCTGCCTACCGGTTTTTAGTATGTGTGGTCTGTCATTTTCTAATACAGATTATCCTCATATTAACTTCTCCTATCATGATTGGTGATTGTGAAATTCTAATAATTTTTTACCCCTTGTATTTTGAGGCCATGTTGTTAAGTATATGCAAATTTGTATTTGTTACAACTTGTTGGTGATTGCCCCATTAATTATTGGGTAGTTCCTTTACTATACCTGTTAGTGTGTTTTGCCTTAATTTTTTTCCATCCTGTAGCTATTAAAAAACAGGCTGAGCTTAGCCGGGCACGGTGGCTCAAGCCTGTAATCCCAGCACTTTGGGGAGGCTAAGGCGGGTGGTTCACGAGGTCAAGAGATCGAAACCATCCTGGTCAACATGGTGAAACCCCGTCTCTACTAAAAATACAAAACATTAGCTGGGCATGGTGTCACGTGCCTGTAATCCCAGCTACTGAGGAGGCTGAGGCAGGAGAATTGCCTGAACCCAGGAGGCGGAGGTTGCGGTGAGCCGAGATCGCGCCATTGCACTCCAGCCTGGGTAACAAGAGTGAAACTCTGTCTCAAAAAAAAAAAAGAAAAACAGGCTGAGCTTGGTGGCTGATGCCTGTAATCCCAGCACTTTGGGAGGCCAAGGTGGGTGGATCACCTGAGGCCAGGAATTCGAGACCAGCCTGACCAACATGGAGAAACCCTGTCTCTACAAAAAATACAAAATTAACCAGACATAGTAGTGCATGCCTGTAATCCCAGCTACTTGGGAGGTTGAGTCAGGAGAGTCACTTGAACCCTGAAGGCAGAGGCTGCAGTAAGCTGAGATCATGCCATTGCACTCCAGCCTGGGCAACAAGAGTGAGCTCCGTCTCAAAAAAAAAAACAAAAACAAAAACAAAAAAACAACTTAGGAAAATCAACAGAAGGAAAATATTGTAGTCTTAACAGTGGTTGTATTAGGAGGTGAGATTTAAAGTGCTTCTTTTCATCAAGAAATATGCCTTAACTTGTATGTAAGTTATTTTAAATGCAAGTCTTATCTTAATTGAATCAATGCTATCTATATCTAACAAGGACAGGTCTTTAAGCTATTTAGTGGTGATCTGTGATTTTAATAATAAAGGCGGGCCGGGCGCGGTGGCTCAAGCCTGTAATCCCAGCACTTTGGGAGGCCGAGGCGGGTGGATCACGAGGTCAAGAGATCGAGACCATCCTGGTCAACATGGTGAAACCCTGTCTCTACTAAAAATACAAAAAATTAGCTGGGCATGGTGGTGCGTGCCTGTAATCCCAGCTACTCAGGAGGCTGAGGCAGGAGAATTGCCTGAACCCAGGAGGCGGAGGTTGCGGTGAGCTGAGATCACGCCATTGCACTCCAGCCTGGGTAACATGAGTGAAACTCCGTCTCAAAAAAAATAATAATAATAAAGGCAATTGCCAAGCATGATGGCTCACGCCTGTAATCCCAGCACTTTGGGAGGCTGAGGTGGGTGGATCACTTGAGGCCAGGAGTTTGAGACCAGCCTGGCCAACATCGTGAAATCCTGTCTCTACTAAAAATATAAAAATTAGCTGGGCATGTTGGTGCACTCCTGTAATTCCAACTACTCAGGAGGCTGAGGCACAAGAATTGCTTGAACCTGGGAGGTGGAGGTTGCAGTGAGCTGAAATCATGCCACTGCATGCCAGCCTGGGCAACAGAGCAAGACCCTGTCAAAAAAAAAAAAAAAAAGGCAATTGTTTTAGTGATGTTAAGTAAATTTAATGTATCACTACAGACTCTGAACTTACAGGTGAAATAGAAAGGGTGAATTTAAAACAGAATTTTTAATCTATTCTTTCCTTTTTTTTCTTTTTAATAAAAGGAAGGATTACGGCCAGGAGATACAACCAGCACTTTCTGTGGTACTCCTAATTACATTGCTCCTGAAATTTTAAGAGGAGAAGATTATGGTAATAAATAAATTGGTGATATTATTTTAGCTATTGCTAGATGGGTGGTTAAATGTGTTACCAATTGTATTATAGTACATTAATGCATTTTGATATGATCTTATTAATATAAGCATTCTTGATCCTGTTCTGAAGAGCTCCAGACTTTAAAATCAGAGACAGTGGGAGGACTTTGGCAGTATTTAAGGATACCAAGCTGAATAATAGTTTTATTAGTGACAAACACTAAAAGGTAGCAGGCACTATTCTAAACAGTTTACATATATTAACTAAGTTAATCCTCTTAACCCTATGAGGTAAATACTGTTAATTCTCCTTTTACAGATGAGGAAACTGACATACAGAAAGTTTAAATAACTCCCCTAAAGTCAAGGATTCAGAATATCACCCATGTGACTCCAGAGTCATGAACCCCGGAAGATTGTTCAGATTTCCTGGGATATTTCCCCCTTGGAATCTGAGAGATGGTGGGAAGATTAACTGTATCTCAGGCACCCAAAGATACACTTATCTTGAGAAAGCATTTGACTTTTTGGGTTCTGGCCCTCTGCCTTGATCAGATATAAAGGAGAATGTGGTACTTGTGAAAGCTGCTCACCGAATCCACTGTCCTTCACAGGCTTATCAGCTAGCAAAAGATCAAGTTTAAGACCAAGGAGGTTACTCTCAAATACAATCTAATTATATCCTCAACACACAATATTCAATTTGGGCGTGAGTCTGAAAGTAGACATATATGAAAAAACAAAGTTTTTTTTTCCTCATAATTTTATTTTTAAAATTATCTTTTAGGTACCTACCCTTGTTAATAAACGAAGCATTGCTATACTCTTCAGTGCCTACCATGATAGTTGTAATGCATTTAGAGTTGACTTTTTCATTGTTTCTTTTTCCTTTATGTGATAAAATCTCTAGTTACTAACTTTCAAGAATGCAAAGTGTATAATTTATTGCTTTAAAATTTCTTTCTGAAGGTTTCAGTGTTGACTGGTGGGCTCTTGGAGTGCTAATGTTTGAGATGATGGCAGGAAGGTCTCCATTTGATATTGTTGGGAGCTCTGATAACCCTGACCAGAACACAGAGGATTACCTATTCCAAGGTAATATGGAGTATTTTACAGAGATTCTCTGAGAAAAACCTATTTTAGAGTACACATGACAGTGATTCAGATTACTGAGTAAAAGTAAGCATAATCTGGAAAGTATACTCCTGACTAAATTTATTAAGTTTTATTGTTGTTCTTTTTGTTTGTTTTTGCGACAGGGTCTCACTCTTTAGCCCAGGCTGGAGTGCAGTGGTACAATCTCAGTTCACTGCAACCTCCGCCTCCCAAGTTCAAGCGATTCTTCTGTCTGAGCCTCCTGAGTAGCTGGGATTACAGGCATGCACCACTACACCAGCTTATTTTTGTATTTTTAGTAGAGACGGGGTCTCACCATGTTGGCCAGGCTGGTCTTGAACGCCTGACTTCAAGTGATCTGCCTGCCTCAGCCTCCCCAAAGTGCTGGGATTACAGGCATGAGCCACTGCGCCTGGCCTCCATGTATTAGATTTTGATGTTTTTTAACACATTCTTTCTTCTCTGTAGTCTTCACTCCTGTTCGCAGTTACCTTCTCATATTCAAAATCATAATAGGTGTTATTTAGAATTATCCATCACAAACAGATTAGAGAAAGGAATCCTGTGGCTAGAGAGGATAATCTTTACACAGGGACCCTGAGGCTGAATGTATAAGTTCAAGACAGTATGAGGGGAAAATAGAGTACCAAGATGATGAGTGATCAGAAGATGGCAGGGAAAGGCCCCACATCAGGGAATATGAAGAATTGACAGGCTGGGTGTGGTGGCTCACGCCTGTAATCCCAGCACTTTGGGAGGTCGAGGCATCACCTGAGATTGAGAGCTCGAGACCAGCCTGACCAACTTGGAGAAACCCCGTCTCTACTAAAAATACAAAATTAGCTGGTGGTACATGCCTGTAATTCCAGCTACTCAGGAGACTGTGGCAGGGGAATCCTTGAACCTGGAAGGTAGAGGTTGTGGTGACCTGAGACTGTGCCATTGCACTCCAGCCTGGGGAGCAAGAGCAAAGAAAAAAGAACTGACAGAAACAAGCAGGCAAGTATAGGTACCTCTAGCACAGAATCCAAAAAAGTATGGAAACTACTATAAAATTCTACATTTAATTAAAGCCTTAACAGGATATAAGTAGGCATTTCATATAATAGAAAACCCAAATGGCCATGGAATATGTGAAAAGACATTCAGTCTCTCTAGCCATTAAGGGAATGTACATTAAAATGTTAATGAGTTACCATTTCATACAGTCTGTTTGATTAAACTGTTCAAGTCTGATAATCCCAGTGCTGGTGAGGATGTGAAGCACCTGGAACTCTTCTAGGCTGCTGGTAGGAATGAAAACGGACACAGCAGCTTTAAAAAAGAATTTGGCAGTGTCCAGTAAAATTGCATGTTATATATGCTAAGCATTTTACAAATGTTAACTCATTTAAACTTCATAACAATCCTGTGAAGTATTTTTTAAATTTCTGTTTTACAAATGAGGAAACTGAGGTACAATCAGCTAGTCAAAGAATAGGATTCGTGTAAATGATAAATAGTATTCAGATTACAGGCTATCTCTGAGAAGATAGAAGAAGAAGGAGATTAGGAAAGTACAGGAGGCACTTCAGTTATCTATGTAATATCTTATTTTTTCTCCTGGAATGCCTTAAATATCTTATAATAAAAATTTAGGCTGGGCACAGTGGCTCATGCCTGTAGTCCCAGCACTTTGGGAGGCCGAAGCAGGCTGATCACCTGAGGTTGGGAGTTCAAGACCAGCCTGACCAACATAGTGAAACCCCGTCTCTACTAAAAATACAAAATTAGCCAGGTGTGGTGGCGCATGCCTGTAATAACAGCTACTTGGGAGGGTGAGGCAAGAGAATTGCTTGAACCCAGGAGGCAGAGGTTGCAGTGAGCTGAAATCATGCCATTGCACTCCAGCCTGGACAACAAGAGCAAAACTCTGTCTCAAAAAAAAAAAACAAATTTAAAGATGACAGCCAGGCTCAGTGGCTCACACCTGTAATTCCAAAGCTTTGGGAGGCCAAGGTGGGTGGATCACTTGAGGTTAGGAGTTTGAGACCAGCCTGACCAACATGGCAAAACTCTGTCTCTACTAGAAATACAAAAAAATTAGCTGGGTGTTGTGGCAAGTGCCTACAATCCCAGCTACTCAGGTGGCTGAGGCAGGAGAATAACTTGAGCCTGGGAGGCGGAGATTGCAGTGAGCCGAGATTGCTCCACTGCATACCAGCCTGGGTGAGACAGCGAGATTCCATCTCCAAAACAAAAAAAGAAAGAAAAGAAATGTAAAGATTGCCAGGTACGGTGGTTCACACCTGTAATCTCAGTACTTTGTGGGGGCCAAGGCAGGAGGTTTGCTTGAGCCCAGGGGTTTAAGACCAGCCTGAGCAACATTGTGAGACCTTTGTCTCTACAAAAAAAAAAAAAATTTTAATTATCCAGGCATTGCTGGACGCATTGGCTCACACCTATAATCCCAGCATTTTGGGAGGCTGAGATGGGTGGATCACTGACCTCTATGAGATCCGGAGTTTGAGACCAGCCCAGCCAGCATGGTGAAACCCCATCTCTACCCAAAACACTAAATTCACTGGGCATGGTGGCACATGCTTGTAATCTCAGCTACTCAGGAGGCTGAAGTAGTAGAATTGCTTGAACCTGGGAGGCAGAGGTTGCAGTGAGCTGAGATCTTGCCACTGTACTCCAGCCTGGGTGACAGAACAAGACTCTGCCTCAAAAAAAAATTAGCCGAACATGATGGTGGCGTGGTGCCGGTGGTCCCAGCTACTTGGGAGGCTGAAGGGGAATGATTGCTTAAGCCCAGGAGGTCAAGGCTGCAGTGAGCTGTGATCACACCACTGCACTCCAGCCTGGGCAACAGAGCGAGACCCTTTCTAAAAAAAAGAATTAGAAAAAAAATTAAAGCCATGAAAAATTAAATATAATACTATAATTTTTATCTTTCTAGTTATTTTGGAAAAACAAATTCGCATACCACGTTCTCTGTCTGTAAAAGCTGCAAGTGTTCTGAAGAGTTTTCTTAACAAGGTATAAATTGTGTATAAGAATATTTCGTGATTTGTCTCTATGTACATATCAAACTGGTCAGGAGTTGTTTGGGAAATGTAAAATTCCAAAACAGTAGAGAATGTAACTTTTTCTGTTTGATCGAAAATTTGTCTCTTACCCAAAGAGTAAGTTGTCTCTTACTCAAAGTTAGTTGTCCTTTCCATTTTGGCAATAAAATTTACTCCCGAGCTATATATTACATATGATTTTTTTTGTGTGTAAATAATATATACCATGTTCTCACATAGGGGAAGATTTAATCTTTGAGTTTAGCCATAATTGTACTTTCAACTCTGTTTCCATTTTCTCTGTGTCATCCATAGAATCTATTTATTACCATGTACTTTTTGAGCACTTCGGCCATAGTGCTTCCTACAAATTCTCATGTCAAAAATGCTATAATTAGGTAAAATTCAGAAGAAATGAAATTCTGTCTTCGGCTCTTAAAAATGTGAATATCTTTCCATTGTGTGTTGGTTTGTTGCTATTGGTAGGCTAGAAGAATTTTAGGATTTAAGAGTCTTGGCAATCATAAACTCTGCTTTAAGTAAATGGTATGATAGGTTGATGTAGGCCGGGCACAGTGGCTCACGCCTGTAAGCCCGGCACTTTGGGAGGCTGAGGTGGGCAGATAGCCTGAGGTCAGGACTTCTAGACCAGTCTGGCCAACATGGTGAAACCCTGTCTCTACTAAAAATGCAAAAGAATTAGCTGGGTGTGGTGGCGTGCGCCTGTAATCCCAGCTACTTGGGAGGCTGAGGCAGGGGAATTGCTTGAACCAGGGAGATGGAGGTTGCAGTGAGCCGAGATCTCCCTACTGCACTCCAGCCTGGGTGACAGAGCAAGACTCTGTCTCAAAAAAAAAAAAAAAAAAAAAAAAGAAGAAGATTGATATACATTTACCTTCCAAGGTAAATAGATAAGATAATGATGAATTTTAATGAAATAAGAAATTGAACCCTTTTAAAAAATCAACAATTCGTGAGGAAAGATTTAAACCTGAAACCTATTTTTTCACATAGTGAAAAATGAAGGCAAGAGGTGTTGATATGCAAAATAAAATGCCATTTATCAGAAAGAAAAATGGGAACATATTCTCATTCATAGTAATGAATAAGCCAAGACTTTTTCTAAGTTGCAGGCTTCTTCTCAGTCCAGTGATTCAGATAATGGTTGTATCATTGTCTTACATAGATTATGGTTTGTTGCTGTAACTGGGCATGGGCCTTTTAAATTGAGCTATAAACAAACTTCTGATGAAATTTAGAGGTTTACATGTTTTGACTCTCACTGCAGGTCATGCCAAAGAAACGGCTGGGTGCTGCTCAAATGATTCTGCTGCTCTCTTTTTCCTCCTGTTTTTCTTTAGCAAGGAAATGGTGATGAGTCTCTGTTTTAATTTCATGATAGGTGGAGAAAGTGCCATGAGGAAATCTTACCTGTCACAGGCTTCAAATAACTCAATTTGTTGTAGAGTTGTACTTTTTATAAGTAAAAGGTAGACCATTCCAACTTCAGAAATAAGAGTATCATGTAATAGGCACAAAACACAGATCACAAACATGATTTATTTTAAAGTATGACATTCACCCAATTCTTGAAACATTTCTTTCACCATAGGACCCAAAAGAACGATTGGGTTGTCATCCTCAAACAGGATTTGCTGATATTCAGGGACACCCATTCTTCCGAAATGTTGATTGGGATATGGTATGTAAATTTTAATTACTTTCTCTATTAGATTAGGTTTCATTATTATCTTGGGCCAATTTTTTTTTTTTTTTTTTTTGGAGACAGAGTCTCACTCTGTCACCCAGGCTGGAGTGCAGTGGCATGATCTTAGCTCACTGCAACCTCCACCTCCCGGGTTCAAGTGATTTTCCTGTCAGCCTCCCGAGTAGCTGGGACTACAGGTGTGTACCACCATGCCCAGCTAATTTTTGTATTTTTAGTAGCGACACGGTTTCACCATTTTGGCCAGGATGCTCTCTTGAATTCCTGACCTCAGGTGATCCGCCCTCTTCGGCCTCCCAAAGTACTGCGCCTGGCCTATCTTGGGCCAAATTTTATTTTCTTAACATATTACAGCTTTAAAAACTTAAAGCCATGCTCTAAACTGCTTTTTAGAAAACTTTTAAAACAAAAAAAAATGAAATTTTTTTTTTTCCCCAAGACGGAGTCTCATTCTGTCACCAAGGCTGGAGTGCAGTGGTGTGATCTCAGCTCACTGCAACCTCCGTCTCCTGGGTTCAAGCAATTCTTTTGCCTCAGCCTACTGAGTAGCTGGGATTACAGGTGCGTGCTACTATGCCCAGCTAATTTTTGTATTTTTAGTAGAGACAGGGTTTCACCATGTTGGCCAGGCTGTTCTTGAACTCCTGACCTCAAGTGATCCACCCGTCCCAGTCTCCCAAGGTTTCCAGGGGTGAGCCACTGTGCCTGGCCAAAAAATTGAACATTAACATAATAAAGCAGGTTATAATGTTACTGAGGCCCATGTCAATGTTTATGTTTGTTTTTATTTTTATTAAGAGACAGTCTCACTCTGTCACCCAGGCTGTAGTGTAGCTCACTATAGCCTTGATTAAACTCCTGGGCTCAAGCAATCCTTCTGCCTTAGCCTCCCAAGTAGCTGGGATTACAGGCATAAGCCATGGTGCCTGCTAATATTTATTTTTTTTGAGATGGAGTTTTGCTCTGTTGTCCAGGCTGTAGTATAGTGGCATGATCTCGGCTCACTGCAACCTCCACCTCCTGGATTCATGCGATTCTCCTGTCTCAGCCTCCTGAGAAGCTGGGATTACAGGCAGGCGCCACCACACCTGGCAGATTTTTGTATTTTTAGTAGAGACAGGGTTTTGCTATGTTGGCCAAGCTGGTCTTGAACTCCTGACCTCAGGTGATCTGCCCACCTTGGCTTCCCAAAGTAGTGGGATTACAGGCATGAGCCACTGGGCCCAGCCAATTTTTAATTTTTTATAGAGATGGGGTCTTGCTATGTTGCCTGGCTGATCTTGAACTCCTGGCCTCAATCGATCCTCCCATCTCAGCCTACCAAGTGCTTGGGATTATAGGCATGAGCTGTCAAGCCTGGCTCATATTTGTAAATGATGTGTTCATCATTGCTAATATCATTGAACCATGCTTCAGGGCACACTTTAATAAAGGAAACAGCCGGTCGCGGTGGCTCAAGCCTGTAATCCCAGCACTTTGGGAGGCCAAGGCGGGTGGATCACGAGGTCAAGAGATCGAGACCATCCTGGTCAACGTGGTGAAACCCCGTCTCTACTAAAAATACAAAAAATTAGCTGGGCATGGTGGTGCGTGCCTGTAATCCCAGCTACTGAGGAGGCTGAGGCAGGAGAATTGCCTGAACCCGGGAGGCGGAGGTTGCGGTGAGCCAAGATCGCGCCATCGCACTCCAGCCTGGGTAACATGAGTGAAACTATGTCTTAAAGGGAAACAAATAATGAGGGCAGAGGAGAACTGTAGAGGTGAAATTTTTCTAAGAATACAGACTTGAGCTGTCATCCAATATGTCTTTTCAGATGGAGCAAAAACAGGTGGTACCTCCCTTTAAACCAAATATTTCTGGGGAATTTGGTTTGGACAACTTTGATTCTCAGTTTACTAATGAACCTGTCCAGCTCACTCCAGATGATGAGTAAGTAATTCTGTACACTGAAAAATTTTTAAGTTCTTTGGAAACCCTGTTTTTAGTGACTATGCAATGTTTCATCAGATTATACTATAATTTATTTAATTTAATTTATTTTATTTTTGAGATGGAGTCTCACTCTATTGCCCACGCTGAAGTGCAGTGGCACAGTCTCGGCTCACTGCAGCCTCCGCTTCCCAGGTTCAGTAGAGGCAGGGTTTTGCCATGTTGGCCAGACTGGTCTCAAACTCCTGACCTCAGGTGATCAGCCTGCCTTGGCTTCCCAGAGTGCTGAGATTACCTGCATGAGCCACTGCGCCTGGCCTATACTATAATTTTTTTTTATTTTTTTTTATTTTTTTGTTTATACTATAATTTATTTAGCCATTCAGTTACTGGTATTTGAATCCATTATGTCATTATAAGTTTTAACAGTAACGGTCATTTTCTCCTTTGCTTTACCATGCATTATCTCTCATTTTTGCAACAACTTTGTAAACTAGTTATTGTCATCTTCGTTTTACAGATGAGGAAACCGAGGCTCAGAGAGGTTAAGCAAAGTTACACAGCTATCAGGTGGCAGAGTCAGGATTCAAACCCAAATCAGACTGACTAAGGCCTGTGCTCTTTCTACTGTGCTGCACTGTTTCCCATGTGACAAGGACTGTCTTTGTCTGAGTTCCTGAGTATTGCCTGAAGATAGATTCCTAGAAAGGGAATTAGGTCAGAGGGTATGAATATTTTAAGGCTCTTGCATGTATTGACAAATTGCTTTTTTTTTTTTTTTTTTTGAAATTACGTTGAGTTATTAAATCCAACCAGCAGTGATCTGAAATATTTTTTGTGCTTATGCCGCGTCTTTTAAAACTATAGTTTAGAATAATTGGGGGTATTTTGATTATTTACCTATTGTTACAGATTCATTCTCTCTAATCTCAAAAAGGCCCTTATTGTTTGGCAGTCATTTTACTTCTGTGTTATTTCTTACCACATTCCCCCCAGCGCCTGCTCCAAACAGCCTCTGCATTTCAGAAGCCTTCAGTTCTACTCCTTTCTCCATCACTGCTAATGGATTAACCTTGCCTTAATTTGATGCAAGGACTGATAACCTCTCTGGGGTGACCTTGCATCCTTTCCAGCTGTCTCCAGACCACCTTGCATCTCGGAATTGCTCTCTAACTCTTCTCAACATCCTCGCATTCCCTACTCATGGAAGGCACTTTTACAAGGGGTGTTCCTTCTATTTTCCTAGACCTATTGCCTTAGTTTTCTCCGAGATTTCATTTTGTCAGTTAACTTGTTATTGGAACTTCTTTGATTTAATTTTTTCTAGTTTGCTTCCCTCTATGTAACCATGCTCAGATACTCTGATTTTTCCCCCTAACTCATTACCCCTCTTTGCATAACCACATTTTTCTTCATTTTCATTTCATCTTTAAGCCTCAAAAAAAAAAAGTTAACAGATGCTCATGGTAAAAGAAAAATAAATACAAAGCACTTCTAATCAAACTTCTTCATACTAGTCAACGTTGATTGTCTCAAAAAAAATTTTTTTTTTTGCTGCCAACACTTCAACCCCTTACAACTGAACCTGTCCTCCAGCTTTTGAAGGTTGAATCAATTTCTTAATTTCTGAATTGTAAAGCATTTTGGGGTCAATCCTCATCTCCCTTGATGTCTGTAAAGTATTTGGTACTCACAGCTTTGCCTTAGGTGGCACTGCCTATCCTGGTTCTGTTTCATCTCTGTGACTACTTTTCTCTCATGTGTTTTTCCCTGTCCCCTTGAGACCAGGATGCTCCATGATTCTGTTCATGACAACCTTCTCTTTGCTATATGCAGTTTGTACCTTGGAGGTTTCAGCTAGCCCTGTAGCATAGATACCAGCTACTTAAATGACTCTCTGTTAAATGCAAATGGTTATTGAGCAAAAGGCATCATGCTAAATACTAGACAGTCAAAGGCAATCAAGACGGTCTAATCTCCCCAAAAGCATACTGTCTACTAGAAGAGAAAGATGTATACCAAATGATTATTTCTAACAGCATCATGTATTAGAAGGAACACTGGATTTAATCAAAAGATAGGAGTTTGAATCCCGATGCCACCTCTTACCAACTGGGTAACCTTGGATAGGACTTGCATAACTTCTCTGAGCCTGTTCTTGAATTGCCTACCTCATACGGTTGCTGTGAAGAATAAATGCATGGTGGTTTCTGAAACACTTAGCCCCTGCCCTGATAGATCTCCTGAGCTGCGTTTCTTTTTGTTTAACATGTCCCCCAGTTTGTCTGCCAAGCAGCTCAAATATATGAAGTCTAAAATCCAAGTAATGACCCTTTATGGTCTCTTTCTATTGTTCTCAATCAGTTCCTTCTTTTTAGTTGCTATTTCTGCTTACCATGCCACGATGTGTTTCTGTCGTTCGGATTCCAAATGTCAGTGACTGTGGACTCCTCCTTTTTCTTAACAGATTACATAAGACCTGTGGTTGCCAAGTCTTTGTTTGTGTTTTCATTATATCATCATTTACATCAGATCCTTCCTTTCTTTTCCCATTGACACACCCTAGTTCAGGCCTCATTCAAGTCATACCTGGAGTGATCACCTCCTAAGTGATCTTTATGCCTTCACTTTGCAACCTCTTCTGTATGCCTTGTGAAGTATCACCCCAATTCTTGAACCCCTTTAATCAGAAACCTTCAACAACTCCTTCATTGACTATCAGGTAACATCTGTCCTCTTGGCTAGCATTTAAGGCCTCCCTACATCTGCTCCAGCCTGACTTTCTAGCGATAGCTCTCACCATAATACAAACACTGTTCTGATCTGTCTTAGCTACTCACCATTCCCTAATAGTATTATTATCTCTGCCTCTGCCTGCTTATTCCTCTATATCCCTCCTTCATTTTTACTTATTGAAATCTTCCCATCTTTCAGAGACCCCTCAGATGCAACCAGATCTTTGATGGATCAAGGTGAAACTCAGTGTAAACATCACTGGCTTCTTTGATTTAGCCATTATTTTTCTTCCAGCATCATCTGCCATCTAACACGCTTCTGTTCCTGTGCTCCACCCAAATAAATTACTTGCATTTCCCCAGACCTACCACAGTCTTCCATCATTCCATTCATTAAGTGTTTGCAGAATGAATACTGCCTTCCTTGATTTCTCCAACCTAGAAGCCCCTTTCTTTAGAACTGTGGTTAGAACGGGACTTAGCTTATTGTGAATAAAATTTAACAAGTACTGCTTTCTCTTCTAGTATGAGTTACCTCCCCTCGTGTATCCTCTGTAACTTTGTGCTTCTTAGTACTATATGGTGTATACGTTTATGTATTAAATATTTGATAGTACTACTCACTCTTACTGTGTGTTGAACTAGAAGCCCAGTGTAACAAAATGCCAACCTCTCCACTCTCTGTGACCCATGACCTCCCTGTGATGTTCTCTCCTTATTCCAGGTCTCTCAGTGTACTTGTTCCTATTGCCTTTTCCTTTTGGTTAACTTCTGGGCTTCACCATCTAACATCTGGCTGTTGAGGTGACTACTAAATTGAATGCTAATTCAAACTTGGATGTTCACCTATAACTAAGAATGTTGTTCTGGAATTGTGACAACTTGTGCCTTTTTTTTTTTTTTAATAATAATAATGCTTCACGAATTTGGGTGTCATCCTTTCGCAGGAGCCATGCTAATCTTCTCTGTATCGTTCCAGTTTTAGTATATGTGCTGCTGAAGTGAGCACAGCTTGTGCCTTTTTTATTTACAGTCTTCAGTTTCGAACTCCTTTTTGTCTCTAAAGATGCTTATGGGATTATTGGGGTTTTTTTTTTTTAATTTTCAGTACTCCATTCTTGATTCGTCTAGAAAATTTGGGGGATTAATCTAAGAATTTACAGTTTTTTTTTCAGTACAATTAGCCTAATTATTTGTTTTTTAATCTTATTTTACCATTTAAAGGTTGAAGAAATCTTGATTATGATGAAAATAAATTTATTTTTCTTTCAACAGTGACATTGTGAGGAAGATTGATCAGTCTGAATTTGAAGGTTTTGAGTATATCAATCCTCTTTTGATGTCTGCAGAAGAATGTGTCTGATCCTCATTTTTCAACCACATATTCTACTCATGTTGCCATTTAATGCATGGATAAACTTGCTACCAGCCTGGATACAATTAACCATTTTACATTTGCCACCTACAAAAAAAACACTCAGTATCTTCTCTCATAGAGTATATGAATCAATTACATCTGTTATACTATGAAGAAAATTAAAACTAGCTTTCAGACAATCATGTCAAAATTTAGTTGAACTGGTTTTTCAGTTTTTAAAAGGCCTACAGATGAGTAATGAAATCCTTTTTTTTTTTTTTTTTTTTTATAAATTTATAAAAAAAAAAAAAAGAAAACCACTGCATTTAAAAATAAAGTATCTGTTGCATTAAGGCACATAGTGGGATTACATCATAAACCTCCCATGATTTTTGTCATTCTGTGTTAAGTCATTTCAGGGTTTAATTTTGAAATAAACTATTAATATAAAATGCAACAACTTTTCATATTACCTATTGCTTTTGGAGTTCTTTATGTTTAAAAATTCAGGTGTAAACTTTAACAAGTACTGCTTTGCCTTGCATAAATAAATTATCGATTTTTTAAAGCAGCAGTTATTAAATTGGTAATAGAATATGCTGCTTGCTTAGAATTGGGAAATTCAGCTGGGTGCAGTGGCTCACGCCTGTAATCTCAGCACTTTGAGAGGCTGAGGCAGGCGGATCACTTGAGGTCAGGAGCTCAAGACTGGCCTGGCCCACATGGTGAAATCCTGTCTCTACTAAAAATACAAAAATTAGCTGGGCATGGTGGCACATGCCTGTAATCCCAGCTACTCAGGAGGCTGAAGCAGGAAAATCACTTGAACCCAGGAGATGGAATTTGCAATGAGCCAAGATTACTCCAGCCTGGGCGACAGAGTGAGTGACACTTGGTCTCAAAAAAAAAAAAAAAAAAAAAAAAGAATTGGGAA